AAAGTAATCATCAATAAGGGTAAAGTCTTAAGTTATAGAAGTTATAGATAGAAGTTATAAGAGAATACTAACCTGGAAACTATGAATGGGAAAACATAAAATCAAAGGTACTAATTGCCTTCATCGATCAAAACACAATATGGAAGACATTGATGTATATCATTGGCAATGAGTCATGGAATCAGGATTCAAGCAGGTAAGTCAATTTCAACAACGCGTTTTGACTTTTTTTAGGACAAAAAATATGTTTTGTTTCTTGATTGAAAGTATAGGGAGTGATGTTGTCAGACGAATCATGTGCAACCCAGTTAGATACGATAATTGAGTGATTTGGTGATAGCTTTGAATGAAAATTTTGCTGAGAAAAAAAAATACTATCTTACAAAACGTTGGATTGGGACTCATAATAGAGTGAGAATGGATTTGGTTTATAATTTTTTGAAAATAACATACTTAACCACGACTATTTGTGTGATTATTATTTTGAAAGAAAGTGACCACCGTATGGTTATTATTTTGAAAGAAAGTAACCACCTTACGGTTATTATTTTGAAAGAAAGTAACCATCAATATCAATAATAATAAGGGGTAAAATTGGATAAAAGAAAGTGGAGACCAAATATTTATAAGTTTTAAAATATTTTTTTTTTGTAATTTTAAAACTATTAAAAATTAAATAAAATTCAAAATTCAAAATTAGGCATATTTTAAATTTGAATTTTTAATAAAATATGATTATATATTTAAAATTTTAAATCTATTAAGATAATAAGTTTAAAAATGAATTTTTATAATTTAAAAGGAAAAAAATGAATTTGGAAAATAGAGATATCTTAAATTTTAATTTTTAAAAAGTTGAATAAATTTAAATTTACTGTAAAAATAATTCCAAAAAAATCATGGTAAAAAATGACTAAATTTACATAATTTAATGTAGAATTTTTTTAAATGAGCGTGAGAAAATAAAATTGAGAAAAGAGAATCAACCTGAAAAAACGTGGCTGAGGAATCTGAGCGAAAGTGAGAAACTCTCAATCCTCAGACGCAATTGTGAAACTGCCAATCCTTGAAATTCTTCCCATGCTGTTAGCCCATCTATTCGTTCTCATTCTACGTCAAAACCAATGAACAATGATGGTCGTAATGTATACAATTGGTGAAATATTTGTTGTGGGCAATTTAAGTGGATTGAAAAATGAAAAAAAAAGTAGAAAGGTTTGAAGGAAATGGGCCTAAGGGGATTGAAGGGAAAACAGAGAGACAAAGACGATAACATGATATGATAGAGAGAATAAGAAGAAGAAGAAAGGTGTGAGGGGTTTGTTACGAGAAGAAAATAATGAAATAAAGTGGCTGGTGGGGGAGGAAAAAATTCCTTTCTCTCGAATCTCGACTGCCATGAGAAAGGATGTACTATGAAATAGAAGATATATCATGCAGGGATATGAAGACACTTTAACAAAAAAGAGAAGAAGCAAGAAATAGAAGAATGTGAAAGTGCGAACAATGAGTGCAATTAATTAGAAAATTAATCTTATAAATATGTTCAAATTGCGTATTGTGATTATCTAGAACTTTATATATACTATTTAAATCTCTTAAGTCCTTTATATTATAAATAATTAATTAATATCAATAAAAATAACTTTATTAATTAAGAGGTATAATTTAATTAGTTAAGTAAGATGTGTGAGTTTTTATAAACATACTTATATCGAATTTAATTTCCAATGATTAAATATTTTAAGGAGCGGTTATATTTGATGAGACTAAATACAATTTAAGATACAATTTTTTTCCTAACAATGAATGTCACTTATAGAGTCAATAAGTCCATGAATGCATCCAATTAAATGAAAAATTAGTAAATGTCTCATTATAAGATTTTTACAATAAATTAAGTGTACATAAAGAAACTACCACTTAATACAATTAGTTGGGTCAATATTTATGAAAATCAGGAAAAAGACATATTCTCTTTATTTTTTTAATATAAAGGACCTGAAATAATATATATATATATATATATATATATATATATATATGTATAAAGTCAATTATTACTTTTTGATAATTAACTAAAATAATTTTAAAAAAATATTTAACTAGATTAAAAGATCTTATGATATTTTTTTATTATAGTCCAGAACAGGTTAAAATCATGTATTTGGTTAATCAAATAATTTTCTTAAAAATAAGATAAGTTCGCTGCAAATTACATGAGCTGAATTGAGGATAATGTGGTCAACATGAGAAATCTTTTTATGGCAGTTATTCCTTCTAATGATCGACGCATATTTGAATCTTTTCTCCCAAATGAATCAGCAAACATGGGCATCTAGGGTATATTTGTTTCAAGAATTGTTTAAATGAGTAAGTTTCTAAATTTTTGTTCGAAATAAGGTACATTGTCAATGTGAATCACAACGACATTCACATTCAACTTTTAGTCTAAAAATTAGATTATTAAAATTTGATATAAAATATAAATTATTAAAAACAATTAATTTAGATACATTTATATTTAAAATAAGTGAATTATATATATATATATAATGAGGGATTCTTTTATTTCAGAAGTAAATTTACCTAGACTTACTCCATTCAATAACTTATGTTCTAGATCAAATTTTAACAATCCAATAGTTGAATTTAAATTTTTTAATGTATAGATTAAATCTGTAATTTTTTTAAAAATTTGAAAACCATTTGATACTTCCATTGAATTTTGATGGCTTAAACAGTTTAATTGTGCATTAAGTTTGGAGAATTAAATATTTATTTGAAAATAATTTTGAGACATCATTTAGAGAAGAATGATGTATGCAATTAATATTATTTTTGAAAATCTCTTCATAGTGAGAAAAATTATAATTTTTATGAAATGAGACTCACCTAGAACTAACATAGATAAATAATTATGTTGATCTTAATGTGAATGATTTTATGTGATATGACCATTTTTTCTCTAATTTTGGAGATATTAATTATATATGTTGATACATTTGGGGTATGATGGTATTAGTGATATGAGCTTTTTGAGTTTAAATATTAAAAGTTATTGTATGAGAATATGAATTGTTAACAATTTTGCTAGATATCATGATATGTTAGAGAGATACCATAAATCATGTTATTTAACATTGTAGATTTTTTATTGCATTAAAAAAATAAGGATGATTAATTGAGTCTTGGATCCATATAAGACAAAATCCACTAATATTGTGTTATTACACTTTATTATAGTGAAATTAATTTACGATCAACCAAATATAAATGTTGAATCGGAGTTTGTTAATCTAGAAATGGTTGATTAGGAAGCTTAGTGGTTGAGAAACTCTTAGCAAATATTATGTTCGGAATATAAAATTAAGAAATGATGTGATAGCACAATTGTTTAAAAGAAAAGAAAAATTACCATGTGAAGCCAATAATAGATTTGACCGATCCTTTGACTTTAAACCCCTAGGAAAAATATTACTTATTAAATATTGCGAGTTATTTAAAAACATTGAAGAAAATAATATTTTATTAAAATCACTTGAAATAAATAATGATGGTAACCCAACTTTTATTATTGAATATCCCATGAAGAAGGTTTAATGGGAAAAACAAGTCACTTGTTACATATGTTAGTACTAAAATTGATTTTAATCAATTTTAATTTTTTAATCCCTTCCTATTGTGTGAGAAAGTGTTAAAGTTGCATTAATGAGAGATTAATCTTCATAGTTGAGCTTTATGTGATTGTAAGAAAGTTTGACCTCATAAATTTTTTAATATTTTTTATATCCCTTATGGGTGTTGTATGATTTGTAGCATACACTTGATAATATCACCTATATGAGTGTTAAATGAGACTCCTTGAATGTGATCTTGGTGAGATCTCTAGAGCACTTATAAATATTGGGCAAACACAAGACCTGAAAGCACAACATAACAATAATGATAATGATTGTGGGGGTGCATTGTGATTAGATACATATCAAATGTTTTGGGTTCAATAGTTTGTTATACGTATTACGCTGTGTGTTAAGTTTTATCAATTTAAGTCTGATTCAATAGCTTCATACACCATATTTGATGCATTACATCCTATATGGGAACCCATAATGTCTTTCTAAACCTTTTAAAATATGTGGCAGATTGTTATATATTTTGAGATATTTCAAAAGATTAATTAATTTGAGAAATTATTTTGACTTTAAATTTAAATTTAAAATAATTATTTTATTAATTACACGTTTTAAAACCTAATTAATATTGATTTTGATGAGATATAATAATTTGACTATTGTAGTCTTAATTAATTTTAATTATCAAATATTTTAAAATTAATTATTTTTAAGGTAGTGAAAGAAACTCTAGCATACACTTGCAACAGCCTCACTTATCCAAAATGTCCCATATGAAAAGTGATCCCAAACCCTCTCCGCTCTCAAAGGGAGAGGGATAAAATGTCACAAAAGTGTCACGTGATAAAAATGGTGCATGAAGCAAGTTAACCCACATCAGGCGCAAACACACGAGAAGGAAAATAAATCCTCTCTGCCCAAGTCACATTGGGTGTGGGCAAAGGTATGCTTGACACAAGGAAGGTAGAGGCTCTTTGCCAAGATTGCACTGAACATGAGTAAGATGGTATTCAACACTGGTCAATCTGAGCTCCCTACCTAATTGGCATTGGGTGTAGGTAGGAAGGATGGTGCTCGACATTGGTTAGTCTTCAAAGAGACTTTCTTTTCTTGCTTAATTTGCTCCAAATTCACTTTATGATCAAATGTTAATTAAAAAATGAGAATTATTGATATAATTAAATAATAATAACTATGTTACAATTAATTGCAAAAAATAATTAAAAGAAAGACTAAAGAAAAGTTGATATTATTAATATAAAATGAACGACAATTATAAATATAAATTAACATTACCACTTAACATATAAAAAAATATTATGTACTATTTAAAATAGTTAATTGTCCAACAATGATACTAACCCCTTACTCCAAGATATTAACTGTCTATTTATTTATTTATTAATTTTATTTTTACAGAGGTACGAAATATTTTGTTTTTCTGCTAGTTTAAATTAAATTGATAAATAAATCAATGTAGAAATTAGCAAAAGATTTGTTCAAAATTTATTTATGTAAAATACAAACACACATCAAGCACGTACATTCAAACCCGTTCAATGTACATATAAAGACTTGAGATGCTTCCCCTAGCTATTTCCTAAACTTTTTATCTGTCCAATGTCTTAATTCATCACATTTTCAAGAATTAATCACCCTGCAATTCTTCCTAATCTCACCCTCAGAATCAGTTAGAGGATTTATATTCCCCATCTTGATCATGGCATGGGCAAATTCCATGAAGAAAACTCTCTCATTAACGCTGTAAAATTGGACCAAAGGTTTAGTAGTTGCTGTGGCATTATTACTGGAAAAGAGAATCTGGTCAGAGCTAAGAACACCCTTTGCATCGAGCAAGTTCTTGAAGTAGTGGTTATCAAACAGATCCACTGACTCTTGGTCCAGCACAGTGGTTGTGTTACCATCACCGTTTTGTAGGCACAAATTTTGCAGTTCAGTGAGCATAGTGGGTTCTATTGTTCTGTCTGGTGACTCGGTTCCTGAGAAGTTGAACAATCTGTTGCTGAAAAATGTGCACCTTGCTCGTCCTATTGTGTGGGAACCTAAATAAATGTTTTACACTTATTAAATAGATAAGTGGATATTGGTAACATTGAATTAGAAGCATTCCTAATATATACACAAACTCCTTTTATATATATATATATATATA